GCTGTTGAGCTGCCACTATTGCAAGTTTTCTTACCACTGCTGTTGTCTCTCTTCTTGTTTCTTTTCTCGTTCTTCTTGTTTCTTTTCTTTTTCCACCAACAACTGCTGTAATTTCTCTTCTTAGTTAGTGAAATATGTTGGACCAAAAAACATTTTGTTTACATGAGTCGAACGTTTCGGAATACACTAAATGTAGCATAAGACAGTCTTAAATAAGAAACTGCTTAAAGGGGGCGACGTACTAATTGAAGACCGTTTTACAAATGGCAAGGAAAGTGTAAAGTGAACAAAAAAGTTGGTAGAATATTCTCTATTTCTATAAAAAGGGAAGAACTTTGCTACTTGGTGACAGACCAACACAATAACGGCTATAAAAATCGATGTTTAAAATAAAGTTTAAAGCGTCCTTTGAGATTACCTTTGAATATATTTTAATTAAATAATTAGTTATTATTGAAGTGCACTGATACTGAGTCATTGTAGATATTAGGACTAGTATTATGGAAGAACACCATCGAATCACGTGTTTGATATTTTGATTCTAACCATTTGGTTCTTAAACTTCTATTTAAACGCTCAGAGGAAAGGTAAGGGTGTTCACGTTTCTGATATAATACTTTGGAAGATTACCTTTGAAAGAACCAATGAATGGACCATGTTCTCAAGTTTTCCTCAGTTTCTTTTGATCTGGTGGTTAGGGTACTCGACTCGCAATCTGAGGGTCGCGGATTAGATTCACGTCTTCAAACATACTCGCCCTTTCAGCCATAGGGAGGAAGGGTATAACGTGATGATCAATCCCACTATCTCTTGGTAAAGAGTAGCCTAAGAATTAGCACAAGAGTTGACTAGCTAGCTACTTTCCCTCTAGTCTACCACTATAAAATTAGAGACGGCTAGTGCAGTTAGCTCGCGAGTAGTTTTGCGCTAAATTTGAAATACAAACAACTTGTTTTCTTTGTTCGTGACACCAAACATACTCACCCTTTCAGCCGTAGGGCGCTATAATGTGACGGTCAATCCCACTGTTCGTTGGTAAAAGAGTAGCTTAAGAGTTGGCGGTGGATGGTGATGACTAGCTGCCTTCCCTCTAATCTTACACTGCTAAATTAGGGACGGCTAGCGCAGATAGCCCTCGTGTAGCTTAGCGCGAAATTCAAAACAAACAAGTTATCTTATAGATGTATTGATTTCGTGAGTTAAAGTGAAAAGAAATGCTCACTCTACTATTTTAGCAAAGCTAGAATGGCTTTGCTTGTTCTTAATAACACATTCTCAGTTTTTAACATCCAATTTTTGCTTTTAACTATTAAATAGTGATAACCTAAAAGCACGCACCAGAACTTTTGTACAGAGATCACTTTTTATTTTAAATAAAACCAACTTGGTAAAACTGTGAGTTCAATGTACATTCTCAGATACGAGTCTGATTCTTGAAGTATGGAATAACGCTTGTAGAAGTAGTATATTTAGTGTCATTTTACCATGTTTAATACTGCCATTAACTTAAACTGAGTTAAAGTTATTCTCAACAACAGAAATTAAAGACACATTTTCGAATTTTAAGAAAAACACTCCCTCATTAGACTTAATAAAGCTCTAAATGAAAACGAAGATTATAGTCTGATGAAGCTTAGTTGAAAGATTTCGCCAAGATTAAGACTTGATGAAACGTTAGCTGAAAACAAAGATTAAGGCATGATGGAGCATTAGCTAAAGATTAAGGCCTCATGATGGTCTAGCTGAAATCGTCGCCAAGGCTTGATGAAGCACTAGCTGAAAATGTGGCTAAGATGTGCCTTATGAAAGAATGGCTGAAAACGTTTGGTATTTTGAAGCACATGCAATTTTAGTGAACATTGCTAATTACAAATTAATTTTGTCAATCCTCTCAATAAAAATATTACGGGTAAAAATAATTGAATGATGAAATAGTGTATTGTTAAAAATTATTCATGTTCTTTTTTAATTAGCATCAATATATATATATATATCCATATATATATATATTATAACGTTATTTTATTACCAAAAATAAATGTTTACAAATTTCATACTAATATAATTCAAAAAGACTAAGCGCCTTCATATTTAGAAAATTGTGTCTGACGCAACAATATGGTGGCAAGTATCAACATTTCAAAATAATGATGAGCGTATTAAACCTAATTCTTATAATATTACACATCTTTAAAAAGATTGAGCATAATTTAACAAAGCTGAGGGCCTTTTATTTTGACTTATGTCTATTATGCTTGTAAAAATATACTTAATTAATACTAATAGTACAGTAGTACTGAGTACACCGTTTGCTTATATTTATAAATTGAATAAAATAAGTATAAAATTGTAACGTAAATATAACTTGAGTTAGTTCATTGTTTGGTAGTACTAGAATTACTATTAGTAATAATCATGTGAATAGGGCTAAGCTGTAGTATATTACTGCAACTAGTACCAGTAAGATTAGTTTGGTACTGATAGTGCAGTTTCAAACAAAAATAACATGTCTGTTTTAATTAGTGAATTATTACTAGTAGTACTATTAGACTACATCTACAAAGTTTTATAATATTTGTATTTATAATGACTAAATATTAAAAATAAAAAAAACCTTAACTAATTGAGTAATTAGTAAGATGATGTAACATGTTATTAGTGTAGTAAAAGGAAAATGAAATATACTTTTTTATCTATAAAAGTTAAATCATCCAAACTGTTTCATGTGTTATTACTGTTGTCAAACATTAAAAATCTATGTGTTTTTCAGTTTAATTTTTCTAGTTTGTCATTATCAAATTCAAAGTTCAAGCATAATGTATTACCAGTGTAGCTGCTGTTCACATTGTTTACTAGTGGAAGGTGGTATAGTACAGAGCAGAAAATGGTCCATAATTTTTTATTAGGTCCATTTGTGCATTTTAATGACTTAGTTGTATTTTTGTTAATATTTTTATAGCGCATAATGTGATCCATACTTTCATCACACAAATTTCAGTTGTGTTATTGAGCACATGCAACTGTAAGTGAAAGAGGAATAACAAAACCTTATAACATTCAATGATTTTTCAGACATTTTCTGATAAAGTGGTGGACTAATTTTGAAAATGTATCCACCATGGAATACTGAAAGCTGCCATTTTACTTAATAAAATCAGTACATACCAACATTAGGTACATTATTAATAAGAATTCTTCGTAGTTGTTTTTACTGACATTTGGCAGATAATATGTGCTAACCTTTGACAAATGGCAAAAAATCATGAGTTAGTAAATCAACCAATAATAAATTACCACAATAATTATTTACGGAGGTGATATGTTATGAGAAGATAATTTATTTTTCTCATTTCTAGTGTAAGTGTAGACTGTACATATTCATGGAAAATGACAAAGGTGTTTTCTAATAAGCTACTAGCAGAATTTAGAGACAACTCACAGAATTATTGAAAAATACAAATATAGTATATAATAAAATGACATGTACTAAACACTTCAAAGGAGCAACTTTTTCTAGAAGTAGAAGGAATTATGATGGGATGTTTGGCCTATTTACACAAAAATAAACAATCTCTTAGGGCCGTAAGCCTAACCCATCAGTTACTTCAAATGACCTACATCTCATCAGTCACCAGATAAAATCTTCTTTCTCCAGAGGAAAATTTCTTACAGAAAACCCTTGAACTCTGAAATTGAACTAAAGACATCAACAGCCACTTTTTTCAAGTGATGCACCAATGCTGCTCTGTAGAAATTATTCTTGCTCTTTCACCTTAAATCTCCTTTCATAACATGGGGCTAAGATTCCTTATCGCACTTCCACAGCTTACCAAAATAACATGGAAATGTTTATGATTCCGACGATCTAGGGAATATGAGCTGCAACCATCCGATTTGGTCTCTTCTTGCATTTTCCTGTTTATTTCGAGGGTTTATTATACAGCTTAGTTGAGTATTATTGAAACCAACACATTTCTGTCTAAATCTTCATGCATAATGTTGAATTCATTCCACAGTAGGTTCTGTTTTAGTATCCTTTGTTTGATCATCCAAAATTTTATGTTTGGACAATTGTAATTCCTTTCTGTCTCGTTTTTTACACTTCTGCAACCTGAGCTTGTTATACTTTAAATTAATATTATTGAATAGTGTAGGAACTGTGCATTAAGTCCTTCTCAGACTGTTTAGTCTTCATAATGATTTTCAGTTGATGTGTCAGTGAGGTTAGGATGCAGTATGTCACCTAGCAACAAAAAATACTTTCCTACATGTTTGTTGTGTTAAGTTAAAACATCCTGATTACAACAGAAGTTAATAGTTTTGTGTTTTCCTTGATCTCCTTTTTTTAAAAATCAGGTATTACATTAGCATTCTTTGAATTGTCATAGTTTTTGTATTGTTTAGCAATTAATTTTCTTTTAAATTTTTAAAATAAATTACATTTTTATAAATAAATCTAATCTCCTGAAATTACCTGTCTTTTTCAAAACAGGTTTTTCTACCAATAATGTAATATCAAGCAAGCTTTTTTTCTTTCTCATAATTAAACAAACTGAACAGGCTAGGTATTTATTTTTACTGTTTAACATAGAGATAGGAGGTGTTAATATCTATGGAAGTACTAAACAGATGAGTGCTTAAGCCTTACAATCCCTTCTTCTTCTTCTACTGATAGTGTTTCTTGTGGTGGCCCTGGTTAGGAAATGCTGTTGTGTGATACAGTTTCTGTTGCAGGATGCTTTTTTTCCTTTATAGTACACTCAAATACACAGTACATATATTCCTCAATTTTTCAACCATTTATTTACTAAACACGTCTAGGTCTGGAGACTCTTGGTTGGGTATGTGGAAAACTTGTTACAAAAGGGCTGTGTATCATCACATACTATGTG